AACAGCATGATACTGTAACAGCGAAACCACCTCAGCACTTTTCAGTTTGTTCAGATCTGGAACATTTTTGCCCTTGAACGCCTCATCATTAGGTGCAAAGACAGTTAAACCCGTAGCAATGGCAGTTTGATACGTCTTAAGAACCCCAGATTGGACAAGCAACGAAGCAAATGTTTTGCATCCCGCTTTCTCCAATGCCGCTGTTATGTTAAAGTCCAAAGCAGACGGTGCCGGAGCAGTCAAAATACCCGGAGCAATAATCGGAGAACTAATCTCCAACACAGAGATATTGTACTCGATTTGCTTCACGGATTTAGTGTAAGTGGACGCTAATGGCGAGTGTGAAACAGCTGAGCCGAAACCCACTTTACCGCCTTTAAGATCGGTGATGTTAACGGAACCTAAGTTGCCGTTAGCATTACCAGTTGTTTGGTAAAGGGTAGTGGTAAGTGTAGTGCCGTCAGAGATCTTGTGGAGTTTAGTGTTGTCAAAGTAATCAAGCAAGATGTGAAGGGAAAGAACGTTTTTTATGACAGAAAGTGGGTGTTTGCCGACAACATCGGCCATGGCTCCATTGGTTAAAGCTAAGATAGTGATAGTTGTACGGCTGTTGATTTCGTCGGCGAGTTTTGTTTGTGTGAGGTAACTGTTGAACTCACTGTACTCTGGGAATTTGCTTAAGATTTCAGTAATGTTGTGTGCATGAATGGAAATAGTAAAGGACATGAGAGTGAAGAGGAAAATGTAGAGTGCACCCATGGTTTACGTTAGCAAAGAGAGGAAAAGCAATGCACTGAAACTTCAAAGGGAGTGAGGGAAGAGATAGGAGTGTGGTATTAAAGGTGGAGGAGACGGTTGACTAGGGTTGAGGAGAGGGTAACTGTGGTTAAGTTAACTAGGGTTAGGGATGAGGGTGAGGAGAAGAATATATGGATAGCATGTGAGACAGAAGAGTGTGAGGGAATTCCGTTCAACTTTTTTTGCGAAACAGCTGGAGATATCTGATGTTGTCGGTATTATCATGTTTAAACTCTTTGAAGGTACAAGTTACAAAAATGTCCTTGAACTCTTGGTTGTTTGGGTTGGGCTTTTTATAGGGACATCTATATATAGCAGTAATTCACGTTAAATTATTGATTATTGTAACGGTTGGTTATGTCTTTATGCTGGAGTTTCGACCAGACGAGTTTAGGTCATATAATACTGTAATTACAGATTACTCCTATAGGAGTAACATCTAACCACCTTGATATAAAAAAAGTGTAGGTAACCTCGATAGTTTGAATTAGAAATATATTCATTAATGAGTTGAATGATTTTAAGTTGGATATGAGTTAAATTACGATTTACTCCCTCCGGTTCACTTTAAGTAATTTTTTTGGACTTTTTTCATACATATTAAGGAATTCATCTTTTAATATTGATTAACAATGAAATTGAGCATAGTAACCTTAATTTGCTCATCTGAAATATAACAAACTACTTCCAGGCTCTTTAGTCTAACGGCAACTTTAGAAGAAAAAAAATTGATTCCTTCTTCATATATGAAAAAATCAACTATTATGGACCACACAAAAAGGCCAAAAAGTCACTTAAGGTAAATCGGAGGGAGTATTTTTTTTAACCCAAAATTGACACAACATCTTGGTACAACTTAAATTGTGATCGATTGAATCATGATCTATTTAATGGCTCAATTAAATTTTGACCGTCAAGAGTACTACATCTTATTAATTTGACACTCCTACGTATCATCTGAGAATTAAGCAATGGATTCGTTATTCATGTATTTCTCAATCAAACAGTTTAAAAGTAATTCTAGACAAATGGCTGCTCTAAGTATATGAGTTCGTAAACAACAAAGTTTATAGTTGTCAATTTATTGAAGTCGATCAACATTTACTGGAGAGGTAAATGAATCCTATATCTTCAATGAGAGGAAATTAAATTCTCATGCGACAGTAATCTTTTGTGGCATTAATTGCTGGAAAATATACCTTTGTTGTCTTGTTCAGTTGTATGTAAGGATAAGGAGAGACGGATATTTTCTCTTGATTTGTCAAATTCTTTTCATGACATGCATGCTTTATGTTATTCATGTTCTACATGGGTGGCGTTCTGGGGTGGTCCTAGCTAATTTCTTTGGGTATAATAAAAAATATATTAATCTCGACATCTGAGATATCTGTTTAAATTTGGTGATACATCCATTTGTTTACTTCATTTATTTATAGCTGTGCTATATACTCATTTGCGAATGTGAGGCGTTAGTTTTCTGTTAGGGTCCTGAGTATGTAATATAAAAATGGAATCGTCATACTAACTCACATATAAAAGAACACAAATTGGTATTTTCACCATTGTTGTTTTGAATCTTTCGAACAGTCAAATACAATCAATCTAAACAACGTGCAGAAGTTTAAATTTGTGGTCCGTAATTGAGAAATTTATGTTTTTCCTATGCAAGTTCTTCTTTCCCGCACTTATGCGGCCAATAAGAAAGAAGTGCAGCATCTGTTTATAAGTATCACAACATGGAGGAGTTTGAAACCACAAATATTTTCAAGTCTAATGAAGGAGATGAAGAGCACGCGGTAAATTTTCTACTTTTTTTTATTAATAGTAAAGTGATCGTTTCAACTATATTTTAAACGGTAACTAAGTATTAATTATCGGCCAAAAACTGGTCAGCCCATGTTAATTTTACATAAAACACGGCCCCAAAAATTCCTCAGTTTCCTCCTTTGAAATGGGTAAAAATAGCATGGGCTAGCCACTTTTCGGATTGGTCATTCAAAAATAACCAGTGTTTGCAAAATCATTGAAAAATAGCCACTATTTTATTGCAATACGTAAAGTTCCAGCATAATATTCTGGAGATCGGTGCACCTGTATATAAACTTCCAGCATATTATGCTGGAACTTCAACACGCGAAAAGTTTCAGTATAATATACTAGAGATTGGAGCACCAGTGTTCAAATCTCCAGTATATTATGCTGGACCCGTATATTATATTGGAACTCCTGTATATTATACTGGATATACTGGAATTCCAATATACTAGAGTTCCAGTATACTTATGTTGGACCTCCATTATGATATAGTGGAATTCCAGTATAATATACTAGAGTTCCAATATATTATGCTGGAATTCCAGTATAATATATTGGAGTATTTTTCCGGATTTTGAATAGTATTTTAGTTCAAATTTATCTTTACATAAAAAATGGCTAAATTCCGATTACTTTTGAAACTGTGGCTATTTTTGATCACTTATAAATTTGGCTATTTTTGAATTTCTCCCTTTATTGGACCGTCCTACGACCCATACGCTTTTTCTCTTGAACCAATACGACTACTTCTTACATCCCAATTTTATAGAGAGAGTCTGGGCCAATAGATTCCAGAGAATAACAGTTTCTTCAAACACTGGAGCATAAACTTGTGTAAAATCCTCCTTTATTTGTAGATGTTTAGATCAATTATGATAAATTTGTGTAGAAAAAAGCATAAGTTAATATAGTTGAAAAATATAGAAAGGATATATAACAAAAACCTACCATGTTAATGAAATGGTGATTCTTAATTGTTTTTTGGTGTGTTACTGTAGAGTGCTTAAGCAGTTAATATTTCGAGAAAAAAAATATTGACACACTTCACACATGGGATGCAACCATTTACCATTCACACTTTCCATTAACTATTAATAGTACTGAAATATGGAATATTATATCTGAAATATGGAATATTATATTGCCATTACATACTTTAAGAATTAAGAGCAATTCTATCTTTAAATACATTTATTTCCATATTATTAATATATGTATTCATTTTTATTGTGCATTAAAACAATACTTAAATTATTGCATAATTTAATGCTTATCATATTATTCAATACTACCGGGACACCAATAAAGGTAGCACAAGTTATGCATGAATTAGTATGTAGTCAACCAAAGGTTCCGTTAGTCACTTATGCATTTATGGAAAAACTTATATATTAAAATAATTTCATATATGTTTAACCAAAAAGTTCTAGACCCTTTTTGTTAAATCAATTTAATAAGTAGATAAAGGGTGAATTCTAGCTAAATATAATAAATCCTAGATCTGAAGTTCGATAATCTTAATGGTACGGGACCGTGTTTAAATTAATGAATCCCAAGTTAATGCTCAATGATTATCAATAAATATGAGAATGAAAACATGCAATAAATGTGACAAATAACATTAAATGTAATAAGAAGGAATTTGTCACCCAAATATTAAATGAGCTGGATGATTCCTAACAATCCCCAGCAGAGTTGCCAGAGCTGTCGCACCTCCTTTTTACCGCGCCCGCGGGGCGCGTGGGGAGTTTTCTCCAATTTAAGGACAGTCGAAACGGGATTTATTTAATTATTTCAGAGTCGCCACCTGGGAATTTTAAGGCGTCCCAAGTCACCGGTTTTAATCCATGAATCGAGGAGAATATGACTCTGTTTATTATTCTGCGAACCAGAAATCCTGAGTAAGGAATTCTGTTAATCCGGAAGAAGGTGTTAGGCATTTCCGAATTCCGTGGTTCTAGCACGGTCGCTTAACTGTTTTTATTATTGGCTTAATTATCT